TGTGTGTGTGTGTGTGTGTGTGTGTGTGTGTGTGTGCATGTTAGGCAAGCATTCTACCAATTGAAAGTCACCCCTGTGCGAGAGGCCAGGTTTTCACCCCCTCTAGCTGCCCGTTGGAAGTTTGCAGCCCCAAGGGAAGAGTCAGTGCCTTGAGTGAAAGCCTCTACATCCTTTTACAGTAAAGACAGTTTTCTACAACTTTGGGAAGCCATAGCAGTTGACATCGAACCCGCACTGGCTGTAGATGAAGGGAAGGAAACTGAGACAGGGAAAGCCCTGACTGAGATAGAGGGCTGACCATAAGAAAACTGTCACTTCCAGCTCCAGGGTGTTAGCCATAGGAAAGGTTTTATGGAGTGATGGGTGGCCCTCTAATCCACCTCCAAGGCATTGGTGTTCAGGAATGGGAACGGGGTTTTCTGTTGGCTTCCTCAGCGGTTACTAAGGACCTCCCCTTCTGTCCCACTCTGCACTCCAGCTTCCATAAAGCCATTTGGGACATCTCAGAATGTCTCTGCACACAGGCCCTGGGAGGTCTGCAGGGGAAGCTGAGAAGATGCCAGGCGACAAGTCACGTGGGCATCTTTCCACATCTCCTCATCTGCTTCTGGCCAGCGCCTGCATGGCTCCTGAAGCCACTCCTGCTGTGGGATGTTCTGTATGTCCTGTGGGAGCCCATTCTTGGGTTCCTCGTGGCTTTACCCAGCAGGTCCGCATAGAGGATGATTAGGACCATGGGCCTGAGTGCAGGTGTCTGAGATGGTCTGCACTTGGCTGTGCTGTGGGATGGTCTGTATGTCAAGTTGCTCTGATTGGTCAATAAATAAAACACTGATTGGCCCGTGGCTAGGCAGGAAGTATAGGCAGGACTAACAGAGAGGAGAAATAAAAGAACAGGAAGGCAGAAGGAGTCACTGCCAGCCGCCACCCTGACAAGAAGCATGAAAAGATGCTGGTAAGCCATGAGCCATGTGGCAAGGTATAGATTTATGGAAATGGAATAATTTAGTCTATACGAACAGTTAGCAAGAAGCCTGCCACAGCCATACAGTTTGTAAGCAATATAAGTCTCTGTGTTTACTTGGTTGGGTCTGAGCGGCTGTGGGACTGGTGGGTGACAAAGATTTGTCCTGACTGTGGGCAAGGCAGGAAAACTCTAGCTACACACTCCAGTCGCCAGAAGCTCACGGACTAGTTGTGTAGTCTCTGGGAAGGAGGGCGGCTGGTGGCTCATGCTGGCTGATGAGATGGGTTGTTGAAATCAGTTGGCCAGATTGCCTGCCTGCCTGGGAAGACAGTTTGGCAGCTTCTGCTGAAGTTAAACATGCATCTACCCTATGATCCAGGATTCTCACTCCCACGTATTTACCCAAAATAAATGGAAACATATGTCCAAGAAGACGTGAACAAGAATGTTCACGGTGGCTCTGGTATCACTGCCAAAAAAACTAGAAACACATGTGACTGTCAGCAGGCAAAGCGGCAAACAAATGGCTCCGTCCATCACCAGGGGACCGTTCCGGAACAGAGGAGCAGTGACAGATGACGGGGTCCCATTAAAAGCCGCTGTGCTAGGTGAGAGAAGCAGACATGTAAACAGCGCGGATGGTGACATGAAATTCTCTGAAAGGCAAAGCCAGGCTGGAGTGGCAGAGTCAGCACAAAGGTTGCCTGGAAGGGGCTGGTGGTGGTGCTGGTGGTGGTGGTGCTGGTGGTACTGGTGCTGGTGGTGCTGGTGCTGGTGGTGGTTGGTGGTGGT